GCTTCTGTCTGAAGGAAAGTGAAGGCCTCTTGTTTGTACCTGAAAATGGAGTTACTTTTACAGAAAATACTTCTATTTGTCTTTCACATTATGAACACAATGTGAAATTATATTCTTGAACTCCATATGGTCAACACTTTGAAAAATGTGAAAGGGGGATATCAGAGCTCAAGAGTTAAGCCAAAGGTACATCTTTCCTTAAGACTAATAAGATTCTCTATCCTCTTCACCTTACTTTAACTGGGAACTAGAGAAAAATGTTATATAAGCTGCAGCTCAGACAATGAGGTCAGTTGCTGAGTCTTTCAGAGATATAGGCATCGGGTGGAGGGAGTTGCCTTCAGAAAAATTGATGAGGGGAGAGGAAAAATTCTAGAAAGAATATGCAAGTTAATTAGACATGTTTGGCTCACATGGGATAGGGTCTTTAGTTGGAGGAAAGTTTAATGCAATGAGTTGGAATATATGTGAATAAAGGCAGGGGAAGAAAGGAGTGAAGAAGCTGACATAATTTAATTTAAGCATCATCATAAAACAAATAGTATAATTTAGAGCAGCCTGTTAAATCAGGATGGTGTCTCATCTCCCCTGTCTGTTTCCATGATTCCTCATCTCCTTCTGAGCACACAGACTCAGTTCAGGGGTAGAACTGAAAGGAAAATAGTCTTCCTTCATGAAAAGTCTCAAAATGTATATATCTGATAAAGCTGACTTCATAGCCTACTGGGTATGTCTGCACGAGACGCTTTACTGCACATTAGACTAACCTAATGTGAAGTAAAGTGTTGGTGTCAGCATGTGTCCAGGACTTACTAATAAGGCTAATTCACCATTTTCAGGCATCAACAAATACAGGTACTAGATGAATAATGCATTAGTGCACATGTGTAGGCAGAGAGAGAAATTATATCTTGGGGGGAGCTGAGCATGTGTGTGCATGCACATGCATGCCCCCCTCAGCAGTAAGTCTGTGGGGGAAGGGATGGGGGGAGGGAGTGGGGCTGGGACAGGAGCAGGACTTCCACAGCTGAAGCATGTGCAGAATGGAACTGTGAGTGGTTTGCCTGGGGGGTGCCTGGCATGGGGAGGGGGTGGCGGG